TAAATGTAATTCCATAAATAGGATTATTCTGTCTGTACGTCAACTATTCAAACAGTATGCACACAGTCACTGCCTCTGTTGTTTTAGACATATGTCTTTAAAGGGCCCCTTTCATATCCCTTTCCGTAAGAATTCAATGTTTGCAGCGGGTCAAGCAGAAGGCAGGGAAGCAATCATGCAGACCTTCTCAGTCCTTCTATTTACCACTGCAACAAAACAGAACCATGTCACGCTGATTCACCTAGCGGACTGACCAGGAAAGGGGAGAAGAGAAGGCTGCAGCTCCCGCAAACGTAAGGAAGAGAACTTGGCAGAGCAGTGGTAGGAAAAGGGAAGGAGGCAAGAGAAGCCTGTTTTGCTGCAGCTGTCATTTCCAAGCTGCTTTCAGCAAGGATGAAAACAGCCGGAGTCATCATTCAGGTTATCCGCCTGTTTCACTTTTTTTTTTCCCCGTTTTCAAACCTCTGTTCTGATTTGTACCTTTATATTTCTTCATACATATGGATCTCTCAAGATCAGTGTTGTCTCCTCCATTGGATCACAGACTCTGTGGTGATTTTAAATCTCCTAAAGCAGATCTCGCAAAGGCTACACAGCTTATATTTATGCAGAATTCAGAACATCCCAAACATGTCCCCTAGTTAATGTTTCTGCTTAAGGAAGAAAAGGGTAAAAGACAGACAGAAGTATTTTCTTGACATACGTAGATGAACTGGAACAAAGAGAGGCCTGACAACTGTCAGGGTTTCACGATTTAGGGAATAATTTCACCCACCTAATTTTATTCCATTCCACAATCCACTGCTCTTCCCAATCCTTCACCAGTTGTCATCCCCAAGCCCAGTTTAAAACACTTTAATGATCTCGCCAGTGCTCTTGTATGAAAAACAAAATCTAGCCGAGCATTGTGGCACACACCTGTAATCCCAGAACTCTGACATGCTGAGGCAGGAGGGTCACAGGATTGAGCTCTGTCTCACAATAGGAAAAAAAAAAGGGCTGGGAATGTAGCTTAGTGCAAATACTCTGGGTTCAATCCCCAGTACCCCCCAAAAAAATCTAAATCTAATCTCTCTCTCACAATATCTGGCCCTTTGTCCCGTGCAGCTCAATATACAACTAAATGCCTCCTATCACATCACATGGACCTGACTCTCCCCAGGCTTCACAAATTGTGTTGCATTCTCTTTGCCAGCCCTCATTTGCCAGTTAATTCCCACTTTTCAACCTCATTATCACTTCCTCAAGGAAACTTCCTTTCTCTCTGGCAAGATCAAATTACTCATTATTGATTATAGTTCAGTTATATAAGTCTTAGTATATAACCCAACTATAGCTTTATGCGTACTGTATGACTAATTAAATGCCTTGTCTCCATTGTTGGGCAGTAAATATTCTGAGGGTGGCAACCATGGCTCGTGATTGTACTCGTAGGACTACCTCAAGCCATGACACACATATTCCATGGCGTTTAATAAGCAAGTGAATGAATAATAATCTCTGCAGAGAGAAAATAGTATATCCTCATATGAGAAATGGAGAAACTGAGTCTCAGAGAATTAAAGGGGTTTCCTCGATGGACACAAGTATAGGCATTTGAATTTAAGGGATTTGATTCCTAATGTTGAGTAAGGACATTTGTCATTCCAAAGACTTGAAGTACTGCCTGGCACTGGTCGCCAGTGCAGATTTATCAAATGAAGAACTCAAAACACAAATAAAAACAAAAAGGAGTAATTCATGAACTTCCGTATGGTTTTGAGCATGAGAAAGACGATCCTGCATGTGATATTGGCAGGTCACATCATCTTTGTTCATTTTTATAAGGGTTAGACTTAATAATCTCCAAGAACTCCAACGACCTCTGGAATTGTGAGATTCTATGCTTCCCAGAATTCACACCCTGGGATTCTGCCTAACAGCAGGTACCAGCATGTGGTGGCTAATTCTGTAGCAGCCCCTATTTGACTTTTGTTTTGGATCATTTTTGATGTATTCAAAGAACAATTATCACTATGCAGCAAGAGGCAATTACATCAAGAAAAACATAAGACAGCTAGGGAAACAATGGAAAGTTATTTCAGGATGTTAAACCCAGAAGATGAAAAAGATTTGCTCTAAGCTTGACAGCTGACTTTGGGACTTCCAGATATGTTATATGGTTATATGCAAAGGAGTGGCCAAAAAGCTAGTGTCTTTTAATTTTTAGTTCCCACTGTTAAATGATTCATAAATAATAAAAAGGAATTGTGAGTGTTCTCAGCCATTCAGGCAAGAAGTTGAATAGAAATTATAAGGGAGCCAGGAATGGTGCTACACATACCTATAATAAGAGCTCTCAGGAGGTTGAAGTAGGAAGTGCAAGCTCAAGGCCTCAAAAGCCTGCCTCAAAAGCCTGCCTCAAAAGAAACTAGGAGGGAAAGCCAACTTCTCCCAACAAATGTAAGATATGCAATGTAATTAGTGAGAGCTTTACATTTTTATCCTTACCTTCTCCTAATCCAATCCCATACTCGCAGGCTCTATAATCTCTAGATTATTTACCTTTCCACTTTCTTTCCTAGGCACTCTTTGCCTTTGCATACTCTTTGGCCTCATAACTCACTGTCTTTCATGACTCTGAGATATTCCATTGTCTGGTCCCTATGTCATTTCCTCAGAAACTTGCCACAGTGCTCTCAGGAAGAGCGATTGCTACTTTCCCCAAAGCCCCAAAGTATTATTTATACCTGAATGACAGCCGTATTTATCAGTTCATTATATTATGGGTTTTTTTTGTCTGCTTTCCAGTCACCCCACTAGCCACTATAGAGCCCACACTTTTCTCATCAGAACCTACGCCAGGCTCATACTGCAGACTTGACATTTAGAAATTCTGAGTTAAATTCCAGGTAGAAATTAATCAACAAATGAATGTGTTATATGGAAGAATGAGTTCTATGTCAACTCATATAGCAACATTTTTCAAGGAGTTTTTAGTGAACCTCTTTAGACTCAAAGAAGTATTTCCAATGCTAAGAATTTCAAGCACTCTTACTGCCAATAATGGAATGGTTAAGAAAGGATGAAATCATGCTGTGTTCCTTACCTTTCAGCTAGCATTATTATATTCTTTTTCTAGGCCACCCACAGAACTACAGCTTGACCTATCATTTCGTCCTCAAATAACCCTATCAGGTATTATTATTCCCACTTTCAAATGGGGCAGTTGAGCCAAGTGGGTAATATTTTCTCCAAGATGCAGGGTTATAAACGGCAGGCAGACCTGGGATTTGAACCCAAATCAATCTCACCCTAGGACCTTGACTCCTTGTCACTCTCATGTTCTTTACCTGGTTTGAGGACCCCTGGTATGTAATGAACTAGAGACAGTCTACTTTTCTTTATTCCTTTCTGACTTTTAATTTACTTGTAAATTTGTTTTAAATTTCTCTTAATTTTTCATAGAATATTTTTATTAGTACATGTTTGCAGTACATAGTGATTAGAATTATCATGGGGAATGTGTTACATAATACATTTTAATTCCTCTCTCTCTCTCTCTCTCACTCACTCGCTCTCATCCCCTACCTTTTCTGTCCCTCCCTGATCCTTCCAACTCTTGGTCCCCTGCCCATTTGCAAAAGCTCTATATTTTCATCATTTTTTCCTTCAGTTCTTTTTTTTTCACTCCCTTTCCTTTCTCTCCCTACCCTCTCCCCTCTCTCCAACCCTTGCTCCCCCATCCATTTGAAAAAGAGCTGCCTAATAGAAACTTTCACAGAGATATTTTCATAGTTCCACTTCACAGATACCTCATTACCATTCTAGCATTTACTATCAACACTTAAAGGACCCACTTGACCCTGTAGTATGCTCAAAAATGCTTAAGGACTAGAAAACTGAGGGACAAGGTAGTCACATAACTTGTCTAAAGCCACATAGCTAATAAGAAACCTAGGAATTTGCCTCTAGCACCCTGAGCTGTCATACCTCTCCTTAGGCCATGTTTGCATCCTTTAAAAATTCCTCAGGTTAAGGTGTCTAGAACTGTGTCACTCACCTATGAATCAGCTCAATGACAGTGACCAAAATCACATACGAATGCAAATACCTTCTTTCCAAGAAAACCAAAACTTTGTCTCCTTCATGCTGTCATTACCAGATAACAGAGGTAAAAATCTGTACCAAGCTGTAATTTAACTTTATCTGCATCCATTAGGTGGCATCAGTCCTGCTTCTATCCTTAATTGACACCATCCTGCACCAGATTTAATCCTTTTAGAAAAATATAATAATGTCAAACCTATAGCCTCTTTGATTGGTTAGGTTATTGTCTCATTTTATCAAGAGATAACTGTCAGCTAAATGTGGTGGTGGCACATACCTGATATTCTAGCACTCTGGCAGGCTGAAGCAGGATTCCAAGGCCAAACCCAGCCTGGGAAACTTAGCAACTTAGTAAGACCCCGTTTTAAAATAAAGAAAGGACTAATGATGTAGATCAGTGCAAAATTGCTAGGTTCAATTTCCAGTATATAAGAGATTTTGGGTGGTTTTTTTTTTTTTTAGTTTTCTGTAACAGGCTCTCGCTGTGTAGCCCAGTCTGGCCACCTGATTCTCCTTCCTCAGTCTCTTGAGTGCTGGGATTACAAGCACACACCACCATGTCTGGCACATACGTACTCACAATATAGAAATAAGCATTAATGTCTCCTGAGTCTTCGTATCGTACGCCGGATGCTGTGGTGAACTCTTCCCCCAGATCCCTTACTTAGGTAACACTTACATACACCCGATTTCACAGGGACGCACTGGATCAGCAGCACCTGAGAACACTGCCCAAGGTTCCATGACTGAATCCCAGGAGCCTCTACTCCATCTGTGGCAATTTGGGTTCAATCACACATCTCCTCCTCACCATCTCCGGGCACCATTCTAATCTATTTCCCCGTAATTAAGAAAGGATACATGGACAGATTTATAAAAATAAAATTACAGGAAGGAATAAAATAGATTACCTGATAAGGCCCAATTCAACTTCATTCAAATCGACCATTTTCAAAACTATCATCTCCCTCTCTGTGTTTGACGAATACCTGATCAGCAAAACAAACAAATTTATTGTCTATACCAGAGACTACCCGTGTATGATAAATAATAAATGCATGCACACATACACACAAAGCATGCCATTTAGTGAGATTACGATTCCCTTGAGAAGAAATAGTTCTGTAAAAAACATCCAGTACCTCAGCTAAGGAAACAGTTTGCAGTTGTGATCAATGTGAAAGGATCTGAGCCAAATGACTGGAGTTGGAATGGGCTTGGCCCAGCTACTTGGGTGACTGGACTGGATTCAAGGCCAGCCTGGGCAACTCGTTGTGACCCTCTCTCAAAATAAAATTTAAAGAAAGATCTGGAGATATAGCTCAGTGTTACACTACTTGCTTAGCACGTGCAAGCCCCTAGATTAAATCCTCAGTACCACCATAAAAAAAAAGAAAAAGAAAAGGAAATGGAGAAAGAAAAAAGAGCAGGGCGTATGCAAAATCAAAATCATTCAAGACCTGTAATTTAAATGTTCTTTATGTCCTTTCAAGAAAAAACAGATATTTTCTAAAAATCCACACCTCTCAAAGCTGTTGAAAAATGTGCAGACAAATGTAAAATGCCAGTCTGGAACATTACTGTACACTGCCGTCGTAGCCAAGTACTTTCACAAACTGTTTCATCACTTTGAACTCATCAACATCATCATCATCATCATCATCATCATCATCATCATCATCATCTCCTTTACTTTTTCCATTTAATTACATTAATTTTATTTCTCAGTCTTGCTTCCAAATTCTTTATTCTTTACCTTTTCTCTCTTTCCCACTCGTGTGGGCTAAGATAATCTCTTTTGGATTTTGTACAATAAAAGAGTCATGCATTAATTTAACAAAGATGCATATTAAGTCCATTTGAAGCTCCGTTTTAGAGATGAAGAGGTTGAGAGCTAAAATAGTAAGTGCAGATGAGTGGGAAAAGCTAGGCAGAGGCTACAGTTGTGCCCGATTCCAGAGCCGGGGTGCATCACACACCCACGCATGGTTCTGGCAGTCACCACGATGCAAACATATGAAGAAAGTGGTGCTCATTTCTACATTCACTTTTCATGTTTAATTGTCTTAGACAAACATGTTCTTCTTATTATATCCACCAGGTAACAAACCAGTCAAATAGCAACAAAATTTCAAGGAAAATTCATTGACTGTATTCTGATAATGCCGGCTCACCTTGCTCTCTCTGACTGCGGGTTGTGGAGGTAAGAAGAAGGACTTCGATTGATCTGCACACCAAAGACATTGCCTTTATTGATGAAGATTTTGCCTGGCTTCATATTTTGGTGTGCGATGTCAATGCTCTGAAAATTCAAAGAAAGAAAGAGCAAGTCGTAGCCTTAGACTCCTGTTGGGGATAATAACTTAGACAACATAAACAGAAAAGCCCTGTGGTCAGTTTCCTCCACTTTGGGATAAAAGCTGGAGAACCATATTTTCTTGGAAGTAAACAGAAGTGGCCTTCAGGGTGCAACTAGAAAAGCGTGGGAAGTTCGGAGCTAAGTAGGTGCCTCAGCTCACAAATTATTCCATCGCCTCAATTCTCAGGAATGTTTGCTATTTTGCCATCTCCAGTGGCCAAAACGGAAGACCTGACTTCCATGGCATTGAAACAAAACTTTTTAACATGGAAGTGTTCTGCTCTGTCTCCTCATTCCCACCATCTAAGGCAAAGTTTTTCAAACTCATTTGACTGAGAGCCACAGGAAACGATGTGCTTTTCATCATACTGAACAGATACCAAGTATACCACTGAAGGCAAAAACCACAAAACAAACTCTACCCTCCCTGTGTGTCCTGTACTGTTATTTTCCAATCTATTTTACTAGAGTTCTTTCATATTCAATACTTATTGCAGCCCGTGAAATTTGTTTCATGAAATATTAACACATTACTCGCCAGCATTATGAAAAATGCTGCTAAGAAAGTTCTGCTTCTGCCAGCTCCGTTCCTGAACTTTGTGAGAGGCTAAGCTCAGAAGGCAAAGAGTAAAGAGAAAGTGTAGTTTGAATGTTGTGCGAACAAATAAATAAGTAGAAAACAGGCGAGAGGAGTACAAAGTACTCAAGCCAGGAATGGGAGAGGAGCTTGAAGGTGTGATTAGGAGTCCCATGGGGTTTGGATCTGTTCTATGGGATGGAGAAGTGAATTTGTGTGTTTACCAACTGGATCCTCCTTGCTCATTGGGAAATATTAAGATTACTAAGAATTACTTTGTAATTCCCTGATAGGTTCCTTTTCATGTGACTTTATGTGTGCCCATGCGAGGCCCTATAATTTAGAGGTTTATATGCAAAATATGTCTCTTTAGACACTAACACGGGGGCTTACTGCCTATAGAACACTTCTTTTCCAATCAAACTCAGACCTAATAAGCCAATAGCTCAGAAATGGAGCAGAAAGGAGACAGAAAGAAGAAAGATAGGCAAGTGTGCTCATACTCAGATCCCAGAGAGGTTTCTCGGCAAAGCACTAAACCATTGCTGAAACATCTGTAAGGAATAGGGAAGATCAGCCGCCCCTGGGGCTCTGTGCCTACCTTCAGGATTCCAGAGACCATGTACTCAAAGGTTCGATTGCTAAATCCTTCACTGGCAAGGACAAAAAGAGTATACTGGAAAAATCCTGCAGGGCCGGAGTGTGTGTGAGTGCCACTCAGGATAACATTGTCTCTTCGGTACAGGGATCCATACTTACTTTTCAGTCTACTCATGACCTTCAAGAAGAAAAACAGAAAAAGAACAAACCAGAGAAGCTCAGCATGAGAAAAGGCTCTGATGAGTGCAATTACTGACCCACTTTTCAAGTGGCCTTCTTCCCTCTGCTGCAGTGTATCATAGGTGGTAAGAGGTCCAAGAATCATAGCAATAGCAATAGATAACATTTTATAGATTCTTACTGTATGCAAGCGCAATGATAGGTACTTTATATACATTGCGTCACTTTAAAATATTTAAGACAACCCCAAGAAGTAGATACTGTTAGCCTCATATTTTAGCTGAGAACATTAAAGTGCTGTACACAGAAGTCAAATCAAGCTGGGAGTGGTGGCGCATGCCTGTGACCTCAGCACTGGGGAGGCTGAGGCAGGAGGATCTTCATGAGTTGGATGCTGGCCTAGACTATATAGTGAGTTCAAATCGAGCCTGAACTACACAGTGAGACCTTATCTCATTAAACCAAATAGAAAAAAAAGTGAAATGATTTTCTCACTGATCCAAATCTCACTATGAGGCCAGTGCTCTTACCCACTCATCCTTCAATACACAGTATTAACATCCAGGCACTTGTTCTAAGGACTGGGAATACAGCAAGGTGTTTTTAATTCTGCCTTAAAGATGTTTTTATCCTAGTGAAGGATAAAGACAATAAACCAGCAAATAAATATATAACACTGTTTCATATAATGATAAATACTGTGAAAAAATATTACTAGATAGGAAAAAGATAGTGGGTGTTAGGAAATGTCTTTCTGAAAAATATCTTTTCTCAGCTTTAAATGAAGAGTAAAGCCAATTGTGTAATATCTAGGGGGAAAGCATCCCAGCTGCAGTGAACAGACTTTGCAAAGGCCTCTTAGTTCCTCTGCTGCCTCTTTTTTTTTTGAGACAGGGTCTCACTATGTAGTTGAGACGGACCTGGAACTCACTATGTGGCCCAGGCTGGTCTCGAACTCACAGCGATCCTCCTGCCTCAGTCTCCCAAGTGCTGGGATTACAAGCGTACGCCACCACGCCCAGCTCTGCTGCCTCATTTTTGAAAATGAAGAATTCATTCTTCCTGACACAGACTATCACACCTACTGGTCTAAGGAAGGCATCTTCTCTGTGGAAGGACACTTGTAATTCTGGAGAAAGCCCACGTGGAAGGGAGTCATCTTATCAACACTGGCTAACAAGCAAGTAACCTTAGAAGTAGGTTCTTCAGGCTCAGCCAAGCCCCTATGCAACTGCAGTCCCAGCAAACATGTGTGTGCCCCTTCGTGACACAGAAATGATGATGTGTGACTCATTCTAACACAAGCCAAAACTATCCAACTCACCCCCTCTGTAATTTCTACCTTTGGTAATAGATGATTATTACTGCTTTAAGCCACTAGGCTTTTGGGTGATTTATTTTTCAGCAATAAATAATGAAGGTAAAGCATCATTGAAATAGTCAATGTTAACATCCAAATGCATGGCTAGTGTCTTTTTATGGTGCATATACGTTAAGAAAATAGAAAATTAACAGTGCTGCTAAGTAGCTATTTCTGATTTGCCTTCATTAGTTGCAGTCTGAAATTTGGTATTACTGTTGCTTCTTTATGTCAGATCATTAAAATAGTTCAACAAAATTGTCAAACTCAAAGCAACCACTGTCAACAGTTTCTTTGAGTATGACATAGTCTGATAAACTGTCTTACTGAGAGAAAATTCCTTTATTTATATTATTTGCCAATGTCTGTAATGTAATAGTCCTATTATAGTCAACATCAAGCCATCAAAAGTTTACCAGCCAGCTCATGGGCATTCTACATATCTAATAATTGCCCCCCATAAGCCGGTACAACCCAGTTCCAGCACATCACTGGTCTATGGGTGAGGAGCAGCCCCTGTGCCTGATGTGTATTTAACACACATAAAGACATCCAGTCAACCTCTCCTACTGTACTATAGAGCTACCCTCATTCTAGACATGTGGCTAGTGAAGAAGGACGATTTTATAAACCATCTGCCTCGTTAACCTCTCCATGCCCCCAAAGACCAGTTGTGAGGTTGCCATGTCCATACAAGCAGTCCTGTGACACCAAGAAATTTGGAAGAGAAATATGACATAATGACGAACACCCCTGTGAGCAAGAGCCCTCATGCTGTGTCCCAACAAGTCTCTGTGTTCCTTCTGTTTGACTCTCCAGCTCTAACTTCTCACCCCCACGTAATTGTCCACATGGTAATTATCCTACTCACAAAGAAGAAAGGTCTAATAGAAGAGGGAAAACAGTCAGTGAAGGCACACTATGAAGCTGAACTGAAATCAAAAGCTGACATCCTAACAATTCTGTAGCCACAACAAGATGATAGCAAAGAAAAGAACTGCAAGTAAACTTGAAGTTTCTCTTAACCTCACTCAATTTATTCTTAAAGGGCTATGTTAGGATTTTTAAATTGAATGCATTTCTTTATGTCTATTCAAGAATCAAGTCCTCAAAATATAGCAAATATTAATCTTGAATTTTATGACAAAAAAATACAAACAACACACAGGAATCTCATCCTAAAGTACAATCTCTGATGAAAAATTGACACATGGTACTTCTGGGGAAAAGAAAATCAAAAGAAATTAAGTACTTAATCATACAGTAACCATACCTGCAAATAGCCATTGGAAATAGTATACTCTCTCCTTCATGAAAGAAAAATATTTTAATGCGGAGAAAAGCAGGCACATTAATGTCTATAGCTCCCTTCTTTATTTTTAATTCATGTAAGTTTATTGGTACATTTTAAGTACACAGTATGCTGACATTCATTATTGGGAATTTGTGCCTTTATATAATATACCTTGGTTTTTATTTTCCCCAATCCCCTGCCTTCCCTTCAACCCCTCCACCCTTCCCTATTTACAATGTCTAAAAGTATAAATGAGGATCAAAATGTATAGTAGATAATGTGAAATGGGAAGAAAAGGTCCAAAGGGGGAGGGGAAGGTAGGAGGCGGGGAGAAGGTAAAGGAATAAATATGAGGAAGGAAAAGAACAGAAATACGGCTCCCTTCTTTATTGTTATCTTACATTCCATTTCTTACTGCTAACACTCTTGGGAGAATAACATAGAAAGAGTTAGAAAGTCCTTCTGTTATTTGGTTTTCCTGCCTACCTCACCGCTCAGAGATTTTCCCCAGTCTTAACTGTATGCTGGAAACTTCACCAATCTTAGAGCTGAAACTGAAAATCTACCTAAAGCCCGATGTTGAAAAAGATCTTCATGGCACTTATTTAGCTGTATTAACTTTTCTCACCTCCCCTTGGATTACTAAACAGGTTTAAAGGCCTTCCCACTGGGTCTCAGATGTCACATGACGTCCGACATTGACAAGATAAGCATTTATAAAGAAACACATTAAAGCCCTCTCCCTTCTTCCACTCCAGTCCTACAGTCTATTTTGTGACTCACCTGTTTTTTCTAATGCTCCTACCATTGCCAGTCAGAACTGTTTTCAATTCCTCCCTATGTATCCTTGGATAACTTGGTTTCCAAATCTGTCTAAAGACATATTAGAACTGCTCTCATTTTAATGTTTATTTATACACATATAAACCACACACACACACACACACACACACACACACACACACACACACACACACACACACACACACACACACACACACACACACACACTTACTTACTTATTTATTTATTTATTTATAAACCAGTACCTGGCTCATCGTGAGTATCATATGTTAGCTTTTATAGATATTCTTCTACAAATCTCATTAGCATTTAATTTCATCTCTTATCACCATGAGGTCTCTCATGCCAACCCATTGAAGACCTCTATGCCAACTTCAAATGATATAGATGAAAGTGTCAGGCAAATTTAATAACCCTTCCTGAATCCCTAGCTTCTGTTTGTTGTTCTTCCAAACATACAATGTTTTATAAAATTCTTCCGTATGAAATACCATTTGTTTGAAATACCTAGTATAGTTACTTTTTCCTAACTAGACTCTCACCTATAGTGCCTCAATACTAAAGAATCTGCTGAATGTGTCCTAACCTCTCATTCAACTTTATTTCAACCATATCAAACATCACTGCCTAAATTATCCTGAAACAAAACTGTGTCCACATCACTCCACCATTCAAAAGTTTTATAAGATTCCCATCAAAAAAACAACGTGGCATCCCAGACTCTCCACAATTATTACCAATAAATACCTTCCAACTACATGTCCCCATACATCTTAACAGAACTCTTCCGTTCCCTGAAAAAGCATCTACATGTGTTCATGCTGTCCTTTCTGTCTGCTCTCTCTCCCTCCCTATTTTAACCATCTCAAATTCTACACCCCAAAAGTCATTTCCATTACGAAAATACTTTTCTATTCCCATTTCCCAAATCCTCAGCTGATGATTCTTTAAAATATATATATCTATATATATATAGATATATATATATAGATATGTATAATGTCCCCAAATTCTGTGGTATTTGTTCCTCTAAGATTATTTTGTTTAATTGAGTTTATTGGTACATTCTAGGTATACAGTACAGTTACATTCACCATTGGGATCTTGTACCTTTACATGACAGGTCTTGGTTCTCATTTTTTCCCCTTGTCCCTGCCCTCCCTTCACCCCCTCCTCTCATCCCCATTTACAAACACTTTATTTCCATTTTTTCATTTTCTCATATTTTTTCTTTTCCCTCAGGATTTAAAGCTTAAGTTTCTTACCTTTAAGTAGGCTGAACCTAGTGAGTTGTTTAATAGAATAGGGTAAACATAATGATCTGTAACTTCATCTTTTTGCTGTCATTTAATGATAAATGCTACTTTCTGCTTTCACTCTACAACAAATACTTTTGCTTAGTCCTCTTTTGATTCTGTGCCTTGTGATTCTGGGTTGAGAGAAGAACCCACCAGCTGGATGGTAACAATACAAACACAACCAGAATAATATACTGAATCCCTGTGTGCTGGTCACCTAGTTTCCACAATTACCAATCCATGGCCAACATGATCAACGTTGCATTTTAATTCTCATTAACTAACTCCTTGCAACTCTTCTCAATTGTCTGAGAACTTGACAGGAGATTAGTGAATAATTAGCACTCTCAAACTTCTAACAAGTATCATTAAACAAGTAAGGTCACCTGGAACATAATAAGCTTCCCAAAATATTAGCGCTCATAGTAATAAATCACCTGCAAAATTGAAACCAAGTTTTGATCAAAGATTACTTAAATGTATTGATGATCATTCTTCTTGTACAATTGTCTGCTGGGCTGGCAACAGCATAATGTTGAAGGCAGTAGAAACCAGGAGTGCTCTGTTATAGTCGCATTTATCTACAGACTTTTTCTTAAATGATGCCATGTCTTTTACCTCTGAATCACTTACCTCCAGCCTGAGTCGTTGGGACACCATGCCTATTTCGATGCTGACAAACACCACTCGATTTGATCCATCAGGTTCAGCCATGATGAAAGCACGACTGTACAGCCTCGTCAGCAGGCCTTGTGCATTCTGGCCAGCTTTGCCAAAGCCCATCTAAAGAGAAAGAGAGACTCAGAGCCATTTGTCTTACTTCCCTGATACCAGCAACCAGGTGCAAACATTTCAGAATAGACTTCTTCAGAAAGACAAAGATAAAATCCACATAATACTCTGGCTCTGGGTGAGAGGATACGTGAATTTTTACAGATATAAATAATAAAGCCAAATAATAATAGAAGCTTTAATCTTGTAAAAAATATGCAAAGGCAAAGTATTAATCAGACTGGAAGAATGCACTCTCTTGCATTAAGGCAGGGAGGGAGCTGAATTGGCTTAGGAGGAATTGGAATTTAGGAATAATGATTAGTACACTACAGGCCTTTGAGGGCCTCTCTGCTCTTTGGAATGAAAGCTTCTGTTTGTCTTCTTCAAGCTCCACACTGTTCAGGAACTTCATGAAGTTTGGACATACCCCCCATTGGCTGCCTGTGATTTCTTTTTTCTGAAGAAAATGCAATCTTATGTCCTTTACTAAGGATATCTCACATTGGCTTTTACCACATTACTGCTCCCTGAGTTCAGCCAAGTCAGATCATACATACTTATCCTAAGTCCCCTCATTTGCCACTTCATAAAACCCACCCATCAAAACTATGCCCAGTTCTTTAGAACACTCTTCCACTTTTGGCTTCCCCCTCATGAGAATGTACATTCAGAGTTCACATTACTGGGGAACTTTTAGAATAGACAGCTTGTAATAACTCTTAGAAGCTAAAGATTATTCAATAAGTGAAAATAAATCCCATCTGACAACTTCACAGTCTAGTTCCTAGGGAGGTATTGACATGAATAGGCATTTCTACCGTCATAGTCACAGAGTCACGTGCCAACAGATAACACTCCACCCGACCCATAGAAGTGTTTTATTTCGCTGGCTTGATGTTGGCCAACACCAGATTTCCAATTTTAACTATAGTTGCCTGCATTTTTCAAGTGAGAGATTTAAAGCCTCAAACCTTCAATTCATAGATTTTTCTGGCTTCTCTGGACAAAACTTTAAGACAAGGAAGTCCTGAGCCCACAGCTCTACTCATATAAAGTGATCAATTCACTTTACAAAGGAGTTGAATAAAAGCTTCCCTCTTCCTTACAGGATGATACTCCTTGTCCTACACAGCAGCATCAACTGAAAAGCTAGAAGATAATGATGATGTAATAATCAGGAATGAATGCAGGAATCAAAACATTAAAATTACTTGTTTCATAGTCTTCTTAAGAAAATCATCATCTACCTACCAAACTGATATCTGATACTTGTCCTGTGCAGTCAGCTCGCCCAACACCAATATGGTACCCACTAAAGTTCTGAAACAGAGGAGGCTCTGGTGTTGCTGGAGAGGCTTGGGTGTCTGTGGGACTCTGGCTTGCTGAAGTGGGTTGGGTTGTTAAAAAACCATGGTTCCCTGAATCTAAAACAGAGTAAGATATCAGAGAAACAATAATTCAGTATGCATATTTGTCTGCTTCAATTAAAAAATCTGTGTACATTTCTTCCTATTTCACATTGTCAATTATAGCATTGGGATCTTATGTACTATTATAGTTTTTCACACCAGAGAAACTATTAGGTATTTACACCTGTAGGGTTCATTTTGTCTCACTGTTCTGCTTTGTTTTCTTAGTAATGGGTATTGAACTCAGGTCTTTGCACTTGCAAGGCAGGCAGCAGAACCACTGAACTAAATCCCCAGGCTAAAGGTGTAGGGAAAGTGGGAAGGGTAGGGGAAAGGCAATGAGGGAAAAGAAAAAATATGAGAAATGAAAAAATGAAATAAAGTGTTTGTAAATGGGGAGGGGAGGAGGGGGTGAAGGGAGGGCAGGGACAAGTGGGAAAAATGAGAACCAAGACCTATTATGTAAATTTACAGGATCCCAATGATGAATGTACCTGTACTGTATACCTAAAATGTACCAATAAACTCAATGAGAGAAAATCTGTGTACATTCTCTTATAACAAGATATACAGTGAAAAGCATCACATCAGCCTGTCTGAAGTCATAATTCAAAGTAGGATTTTTTTTCTTGGGACTAGAATGTTTAACACTGAAAGTCCTAAGCCTTTTTAAAATGTCCTTCAGCTTCTCGTCATGAGTGTTTCTGTGTCACATTCACTCATTTCATTCATTTGCACTGCTTTCTGTTCCAAGCAAACAGAACAGATCCTAGATTCCTGCCATACAGCTTGCTAAATCTAATTTCTGGCAATTTGTGTCTTCCATTCTCTCCATTCAGACCCCTAACTCCATTCCTCTCCACCAACCAGTCTCCTCCACTGTCTTCAGGTCCATTTCCATCACACCTAGTTCCTAGCTCAACTCCTCCCTCCTAGATGCCACCCAGCTGTCTCTACTCTGCTCTGGTTCTCTGTGGCCTTCTAAAGCTTTTATTAGTGCAATTAGATCACTGTATACTTGGTGACATACTTCCACTTTACTTTATGTCTGTGTGTGTGTATTTATACATACACATATATAACACACATGACTATCAAGGAGGCAAAAAGACATAGAGATTAAGAGGTAAATGCAAAAAATAAATTGCGTGGGCATGAAACCTTACTCTACCAGTTACTAACCAAACAAATTGCTCAATATATTTCACCCCAATTTTCTCATTTATGTAATGGACAAAATATAAATGCTTCCTGGGATTGTTTTGAACCACAAATTGCTAATACACTTTAAACCTATAGAACAACAGCTGGTACATAGGTTTCATTCTCTTAACATATTTAGAAACTGTATATATATTATATATATATAATTTATATATAATATATACATATTTTTTAATTTGTTGATTTGTTTGCTTTCAGCCCCACACAATATCCAAGAACATCCAGGGCAGTAAATGTAAGTCACAAGGCGTTAGTGGTCAGAAAGTATAGTCAAGGGACTTATAGCTGACTTTTGGGATTCTAAAATTTTGGAACTAAAGATATTAGTGATCACCTGGTCCCTTCTCCTTAGAGTTACAAACAAGGAAACTGAAGCTTGAAGAAGTGGCTTAGGCCACTTCATAAAGAACATGAGATGAGTCAGGTGCCCAAACCAGATCCTCACATACAACCTAATGCTCTTTCCATCAAATTCTTGGTGGAGTCCAAACCTGTCTTATCCCTAGGCCCACATTTCCTACTTAACATCAAATATTGAAAGGAGAGAAGCGATATGTGTGCTTTTCCCACACGACTATAGAAATGCTGCATCCACTAAAGCCAAGCCTAGCACACTGCCAAGAACAACTTCTTTACGATCTTGGAGTCTTTGTTCCCCATATGTAAAATGGCACTGCAAATAACCCCTGCCTTTGCAGGAGTATTGTGATGAGAAAATAGTATAGAATCCTTACTACAGTGTTCCACACAAATAAAACAACACATATACAGTAATTACTACCATGAGAATAATATGAGTATAATTATTAGTAACCTCGAGTCTCCACCTCCTAGTTCTCTAATCTGGGGAGCTAAAACTAAGCCCCAAAGATCTTTTCATATCCACCACTGCAAGACCCTCTGCTCTGTCAGTCAATGGAATAGGGAATGTCTGTTCTTCTGATCCCACAGGGAATTCAAAACACCACGAAAGAGAAGACTAAATTTTAAAATTCCATCTCTGAGCTGGGAGTGGTGGTACATGCCTGTAATCCCAGCTACTTGGGAGGATAGGACAGGAAGATCACAGCTTTAAGGCCAGCCTGGGCAACTTAGCAAGGCTTTGTTTCAAAATAAAAACTTCTGGAGATGTGGCTCAGTGGTACAGCTCCCCTGGGTTCGATCCCTAGTATAGAGTGGGTAGAGGAGGTTCCATCTCCACTGTCATTTTGTCTGAAGCCAGCCCTCCCTTCACTTTTGGCAAAGCACGCATTCCCACCTGGGTTCGCAGTTCACAAGTATGAACCCTAAAACTAAAGAAAGGCTGCATCAACAGTGTGTAATAGCTAAAACTTGGAAACAGCCCAAGCGCCCACCAGCTGGAGACCGGATAAAGACGTGGGTTTTTTATATAATGGAGTACTACTTAACCATAAAGAATGAGAAATTAGAGATATTTACAGCTAAATGGATGCACACTGAGGCCATACTGTTAAGTGAAATAAAGAGGACAAACATGGGTAAATACTGAGTAGTTTCTCTGGTGGGAGAAATTGAAAGTGTAAATAAGGATCAAAATGTATAATGGATAATGTAAAATGAGAAGAAAAGGTCCAAAGGGGAAGTGGATGGGTAGGGGTGGAGGAAAGGAAAGAAGGGAAAGAAAGAAATATGAGAAAAGGGAAAAAATGGAAATAAAGTCTTTGTAAATAAGGAGGGCTGCAGGGGTTGAAAGGAGGGCAGGGGAAGGGGAAAAAAATAAGAATCAAAATATGTCATGTAGGGCTGGGGATTTAGCTCAGTGATTCTGTCACCCAGTTCACAAGCAGAAGGACTCGAGTTCTATCCCAGTACTGAAAAAAAAAAAAACAAAGAAAGAAACAAACAAAAGATATATCATGTAAAGGTACAAATTCCCAATGATGAATGTCATCGAACTGTATCCCTAAAATGTACCAATAAACTTAATGAATTTTAAAAACAAAAGGCTAGGGGATTTAGCTCAGTGGTACTGTGTCTGCTTCCCAAGCACAAGGTCCTGAGTTTGATCCCTGGTACTGGAAAAAAAAGAAAAAAAGGCTGCATCATACCCATTTCCAGTTTTACCTGTAAATATAGTCCATATAGTTTCAAAACTTAAATTTATTTCTAAAGCACACCAAAAAAATTGCGATCTAAAAATCCCAATTTTCAACTTCTCATGAAAATTTGGATCTAAAATTATGTGACACTGTGACAACAAGCGCTCAGGAGAGTAGACCCCCTTCTCCAGAATGTGCCTGCTTCTACCTTGTTCTGTCTCCGCACTCTACCTCATTTACAGAACTCTACAAGGATTTGAGTCTGAGGCTTATTTCCCTGAAGCTTTCCACAGACCAAGTGGCATTCACTGAGAGTTTCGTTCTTCCTCTGCCCTCGGGAGAAAAGGATGCCAACAAGGAAGCAAAGAGAAGGATTAGAGGCTGGGAGCAAAAGCTGATATTGTTGGGCTTGAACAGTCTTGGACTGTGGTTAGATGAATGGAAAAGCTAAAGGCAAATATAGACATGTGCCTGTCAATTGGCTATTTGAGGGCAAAGGTGCATTTGATAAAAACAATTGCCATCCATGCAGAAGGAGTGATTAAATAAAGACAGGTCGCCAATCCAGACTGCTTAAGTACACACTGAAACAGTCAGCAGACATTGCTTCTTATCTTGATATCCCCAATAATCAAGAAATTTTCTGCAGACCTAGGAATCGTACCCCACAGGGCCAATGACACTTGCCTTTGTGGTTTTCAATGGTTCCACTGGTGATAAACAAGAGGCTGAGAAGAGCCACTGTAATGGCAGTCATCATTACAAGGAGGAAAATCAGGAATGTCTCCAGCGTGGAGAAAGCACGTTTTGCCATTTCTCCTGAGACAAGAAATATGAGAGAGGAAAAAAAAAAGACAAAAATCACAAGTTAAAAATGGGTGTATTTCAAACCGCCCAAGGGTAATAGAAATTAGCTCTTTTGTATTAAAAGATTACGCCAAGGATAGAAAGTATACAGCACGCTTACCACAAGCTCCATATCCTAAACCAATGGCCTCCAACACCCACCAATTACAACAGGTTTCGAGACAGCTCAGCTATGGTTTCAAATCACAGCACAATGCTCCCCCTGGCAACTGGCAACTATGATTTGGCCCTGGTGACTGAGATAATATCTATTTCCTCTCTCGATTCAAGCATACAGCTTCCTTATGGGAATGATGGCTGTTGAGAGATCTGTACATGGGCCGAGACTGGAATTCGGTCAGAAAGGGTGATCGATGAACACACACTGATTTGTTTAGGGGAAAAGCGAATGCGGTTAGAGCTATCCTCCATGTTCTAAGTAAAATTATTTTCTCCACATGGAGGATAAAACTCATATAACTTTGGTCTTCATGTACTAATTTTCAATTATTACCTGGTGAGGAAAGGATATAGGAAAGGGATTGGTATTTCTCGTCTCAGGCCAGGCCTTAGTAAAATTTGTCTTTCAGTGATCAGAATTATTCCACACATTTTGCATACTTATGTTTTATAAATGCACTTTTTACAGATTGCTTTCAATGTTTTTGAGAAATCAGCCCTCAGAGTGGGCCGATGGAAGCTAAAATTGTAACGTATATCTCATATATTGTAACAAGAAGTAAAATACAGTGGTTAAAAACTGGCTTCCAAAATCTAACTCCAGAGCTTAAGTCTCATTTCTGCCACGTACTGGGTCATCTTAGGATATCTTACCTCAATACTGAATCTCAATTTCTGCATCTTCAAATAGGAACATAATGATAATTCTAGAAACTTTCTCATAGAATAACTATAAAAATAAGGTGGTATAATGCAAATGATACTACTTTTCTTCCATAGGATGTAATAAGTGTTCAGAACGTTAGCATTTATTATTATGTTTCAAAGCAACAAAGACTCAGGGCTCCTCTCTATTTTTTGAAAGGAGGGTTATAAGAAGCTAATGCTAATGGATTATTGGAGTCAGAGGTGAGATCTTCAGAGGCCATTTTCTTAATTCATGTATGAGGATAAATAAACAATAATAGGGGCTTGAAATCCCAGGATCTTTTCTTCATATGAGTGATTTGTAGCTGTGACACTGCTAATCCAAATCGCAAAATGGCAACAAATAGATGCATTTACTATGGCCCAAACAACTTTTTGTTTTTGTTTCAATTTTACTTAGATGACAAAATAAAAGATACTTTCTGTAGTCTCTCTGTAAGGATAAAGTTTACATTTATAAATCTGAAAGTTCAAATTTTCTCTTACACGCATCCATAAATATGGCAGCAGCTGTGCTTTAGTTACAGCAAGCATTCTCCAACCTGCTAATCACCACCCATCCAGCCTTATCCCTCTAAATCACTCCCTGGACTTTGTAGGGATTTGATTTCACAATTCTAAGTCTAGAGGTGAAACATCAGGATAGCAGCAAACACGACAGGTAGGACAGAACAGCTCCGATCAAAGATGCAGGACATCTCACAGCTCCTGGGTAATGGGCAACTTTCTTCATCCTTTAATCACGCATGCAGTCACCTTTGCCTCACAGCAAGGATAACTTTAAATCTAGGGCAAAATTAGTTCCATTGCTGCCTTCCTCCTAACTTCTATCAGCAGTTCTGGGAATTCCCAAAATGCAGTGAAAATATGCTTCTAAAACTTTCATAACTAAAGAGATGTACTAGACAGTAGCTGCTTCCCCACAGGAAACTTCAAAACCATTACCTAGTTTTTGTGAAGGCTTTATTTTCTGAGCTTTCTTCTAAGCCAAGATGACCAACTTGATGTCTCAAGTCCAGAGCTGATTGTGTGTGTAAATGTACACAGGATCCTGTGTATCAAATTGGTGGTACAAATTTATATATGTATATGTACTTTTATTATGTATAATTTAATTTTATTGTAATCTGTATATAGCTAGAGATATATAGATTTTTTTGCTAGTTCTGCTCTGCCAAACTGAATACCACCACCAATCTTCTAGACAAAACAACAGTAGTATTTGATTGCACATAAAAACTTCTATCTCTTACTCAGACTTGAATGGTCTATCTCATACAGTTCACCACTGTATTTACCTGCCACAATCGCTACAAATCTTTTTAAACCACTTTGGCTAATTTTACCATCACCTTTAGAGAAATCAAAATTTAGGTTTGCATTATTTATTTGCTCCTGATGATTCAGACATGAATTTGAATATGAAGCATCTTGAATTTGAATATGTAAATGCACTTGAAGAGATAAGCACATGATTACATCTCAAATGTCTCTAGATTTCAGAATGGTTCTCACTTGTAAAAAACCTGTACAAGCTTGGAAATGAGACTCTTATGACACAACAGCAAGTCATTTAACATATCATTTATCACCTCGGAGACCTGTTTTTCAAGGTGTCAGTAAAAGGTAACAATTTGGCAAAATGAGTTTCCAATTCTATAAAAATGAACTGGAAGCTATAACATTTTGTCAAGATCTCTGATATAATAAGATGAATCATGATTCCCTTTTTTCCCTCCCTCTCCAAGAAAACAATCATTCTTACCTGATTCTACCACTTAGAAGAGTGTCTGTATCCTAGCTAGGCTTAGACTTCTCAACTTGAAAACCTGCTGAAGAAAGAATTTTATAGTCACATCCAACAAAGTTAAAGTTCTCATTAGCATATCTTTGTAGGCTAGGTAGCAGGATAAGATTAAAGATTGATATTTTTAAAAACAGCTAATACATGCAAATTCTCCTAGGACAGTCATTGGACACAGAGTGCAGAAGGCCTCCTAGGCTAAAGGTCATGTCGAACTTTAAACAACTCTTCCAGTATAACAAATTCTGTGGGAAGCCTGCAATCCAGAATTCTCTCTCTCCCTCTCTCTCCCTCTCTCTCTCTCTCTCTCTCTCACACACACACACACACACACACACACACACACACACACACGGAGTCACAGACTTATTTACCACTATCTGCCTTATTTATTTACCACTAGTCACAGAACCAGTAATCAGAAGCAGCAGTCATGATTGGTGGACATAGGCATAGGTATGGATACCAGAAGGCAATATTTATACCAGTCTCAGAACAGAACAAGCAGTCTTAAATTTTAGGCACTTGCAAGAGAATGCAAAGTTTTAGATTTACTAAGAATAGAAATAATTATACAATAGAATACAAATATCATACAACCATTACAATTATATGAAAAATTTAATGATGTTGAAAAATTACCGATAATATCTGGTTTACATTACAATACAATATGATCTCACTTTTAAAGTTTTCTCTTCTCTCTCTCTCTCTCTCTCTCTCTCACACGCACACACATATATAACAGCAAAATATTAGGCAGTAATTATCTAGTGATGTTGGATGGTTTAAATTTTCATTGTTTGCCTCTGTAATAATAGCCATATGCCATTTGTAATGGGGAAAATAAACTGTTTCTCCTTCTCTTAGAGAATGTATTCTATAAAGCAATATAAATAGCAGTGGCCCACAAGAGACAAAGAAAACGAGAAAGGGGCCAACTCTACTGATTTTGTTTGCTTGTTTGTTTTTCATAGTAACTCAGAGGTGTCCAGAATGCCACAGGTAAGCTGCTAAATTCTTTGCAGAGTAGGAAAACAGGCCAGCCCCCAAAGTTCCAAATGGAACACTAGTGTCTTCAACTAGATCATTTAATAGTCTATCTTAGATATTTTTCTGCTTTTACAAAAGGAAATAGATTAAACCATGGTAGTGAGCAATTTTTGTATTATTACGTTAGAATCCTGGGTTACAAGCAACAGAGAACAAATCTACCTAATTTAAGATGGGGAAACCAGGCCAATTCATAGCAAGAAAAGCTCAGTTCAGTCTCGGAAGAGCAGCAATCAGGGAAGGTCTGCAGGACTAGAGAGCAGGGATTATGGGAGCATCTCTATGTAGTGTTGCCATTGAGATGGATGCTTCTCAGTTACCTTAGGTCTCTGAGTAGCTCTGTTCAGCATTGGGTGCTGACTGGAACTACCTCAGGTCATTTATTGACCCTTTATTTAAATGAAAATTCTAACAAGATCATGCCTAAAGAGGGAAGGACAGTTTTCCTGAATAATATCAAGAAGGAAGAGATACCGAACAGATAAAAATAGGCCACTCGTGAAGTGCTGCTGGATTTCATTCTCCTGTTCTCCTCCCTTGCAGTGGGAGGCCCCCAGGGTGACTCATGTTCTCTTCCAAACCTCTCTTTCCTCATAAAAAGGAGATATGGTTCTGTCTTAGTCACTTCCTCATTGCTGCAACACAATATTGAACACCTACAATTCAAAGAAGAAAAGGTTTATTTGGGCTCACATGGCACATCCATTTACCAGTTTGGATCTTGGCAGCATGACTCTCAGGTGGCAGCCTGCCAGCTGTTCCTGGATTCCACAGTCTGCTTCCTTATTCTGTAGCTGTGACCAAAGTTGGCTATCCCAAAGCAGCTCAGTTCTGTGATTTAAAAACTGGACAGTTGTTCTTAGGAGCTCAGCCTCAATCCTCTGTCTTCAGCCTTTTCTATGAGGCTGAGAGTTGTTGCTCTCTATCCTTTACTAGGCCTTTTCTTTTTAAGCTCCTCAGAGGGGGATTCTGTAATCTCTAGCTATGAACCTGTCTAAGCTAAATCTCACACTCCAAGAATTGGACTCACTGTATGCCAAGCTGTCTCTGAGAATATTTTTAAACTTAAAAATAACAAGCCGTCTGGCACAATAAATTTTTTGTTAGGTCCAAAAAACCTTAGTTTTAAGTATATGCAGGGTTAGGGTTGCCATCTCATGGTATTGCACAGGATGGAGAAATCTCCTTGAACTTCAAAGCAGTTTCACCACCAGTTCAGGAAAGGGTCACCTTTCCACTTGTCTCAGTTTAGCCTTGATTTCAACCAGCAAGTGATAAGAGATCCCTTCCGATCTATGTTTCTTATTTAAGCACTTTTGCACCCACCATATGCTGAGTCTGAGGCTACAACTAGGGTTGTGTCATAGTGAACTGGGGAGCCCCAGTTCCCAAGGGCAGTCCCAGGTTCAAACACAGTGGCAGGGCAGGAAGAAGAAAGAGCATGATAGAACAGGATACCACCAATCTTCTTTCCCCCAGAAATTCGTAAATCTCACATTCACAGCAAAGGTTACAAGTAGATTCTGATAATCCTACAGTTTCCAGAGCACAGGAAATCTACACCAGAATTTCTCTCTTAAAATTTACCTTAATTCTGCCATAGGTAAAAAGGAAAAAGATAAAGAGGTATTGAGCTGGGAAGGACTGGGATTTGAATCTAAAGATTATGATTTGTTTTCTGAATCTCTGAGCTTTATTTTACTGATTATAAAAACAGAGATCTTAATAATAAATTACCTCATTCAGAGAACTTATCTCATTTAAAGCTCTTTACTAATACAGTTAGTTATTAAATTAATTAGGATAAGTGTGCATACCCAAGAGTGTGTAAGTTTTGTGTGTTTTCAAACCTATACACCAGTTATCTTTTCTTGGTGTATCTCTTATGCCTGGTTCCAAAGATCTTCCTCAGAGCTTCATAAGTTCTGCCTTGAAGTGGAGTGTCTTTTGCTACTTTCAACACATTCAGAGGGCTTAAAAATCTAGATAAACTGAAATTGTAAATCTCCTTATTTCTCCTTTTAGATAAACAGCACAGAGCTGCATAACCGTTTCCAGACTATCTGAAAATTATTCCTAGATGATTTTTCTTTTTCCAAAACCATAGATAAGAATTTATTCCATTTGACAGCGACAAATGTGACTGGTTTGGCATACAAGATTACAAAGGTAGACTGGGAGAGAGCAGGCTACAGCTGCCTTTACCGTCATTTCAGGGACAGCATGACAATATCTTTTGATGTAATTCTTGCCCTCTGCATAAATCTCAGATGCTTCATGTCTCCTGCCTGGATTGTGCATCAACAGGAAAAGTTCCTCATTATCCTTCAATAAAACTTGGAAAAGAGAGACTAAAAAAGAAAAATCTGATTGTATGAAAGTCCATCTTGACTCAATTGATATTCTCTATCTAACACAGGGAAGGAGAAAGGAGATGCTGAGCAGTTTGGCATGAAGTTATATTGTCTTAAATATATCAGGCACAAACAAACCTGAGGAGGAACTCTGAGTGGTAAGAACCACCCACTTCCCTGTCTGGAGCAAACTTATTGGCAAACATGTGTTAGAGAATCCCCTATTAGAGCAGTCAAGAGACAAAACATATAACCCCTATGCTAGAGAGTGAAAACACAGCATTTCTCACATTCTTACCGCAGTTGTCTAACCTCTTCCCAAGGACAATCTAGTTAAGATCTAGGGGTGTGGAGAAAGAAAAAAGTTCTTGCTGCTGTATGTACCACCTGGAAGGATAATGCCTTCAGGAGGACTTAGCGCCCTAAATTTATCATTGATTTGAGTGGTGATAGAGCCACGCATCGGAAATATCCAAGCTCAAAAGATACAACCAACAAAATAAGAGTGTCTATCTGATACTCCCTCTACTTTATGGAGCTCAGCGCCAAGCCTTGAAGTGAACTGGAGGCTGGGGCTTGGGATCTGAGGTAGAAAAGTTAAGGAAACTCCAATTTGAGATAAATAAGCTCCCCAAGAGTCCAAAAGGCCAGCCAAGGAAAATTTATGCAAAACTGCCAGATTAACAAAGGGAATCACGCAGGAATCTTGAATTTGGAGAAGTTAAGGACAAAATCCAACTTAGGTCAGAGCCCAGAGGCTGTCAGACAGGTTGACGAGGCACCAGTCCATATGAGTGGAAGTAGGGTATATGTCTTCCACAAGTGGTATGCACGACTCCAGTTTATGGGTCAGGAGAATAGAGAGACTTGTGTGAGTTGGGCTGGCTTATCCACCTGTACAAGAAAGCAATAATTAAAACAGCTTTGTGAGGTCTTATATGTAGACACTTATCAAGCCAGGGCAAGAACCTTTTTAAAATACTTTTAAAATAAAATGAAATAAGCATATTGAATTCTTAGTATGGTTCAGACATCGTCTTAAAAACATCGCATGAATTGCCTCACATAGTCGCAAAAACTCTATGGGAATGGTAACATTCCATTCCTCAATTTACATTTGAATTTAAAAAAAAAACTGGTCACCGAGAAGTTAAACAAATAGGCAAAGGCAACATGGACAAACTAGATTCAAAATCAGATCATTGTCCTCAGAGTTCTCTAATAATAGAGCTCTTTAATCATTAGCTACAGTATGCAACATAAGTATGTGCCTTTCAATAATAGTAACATACTTGAAAGCCTCAAAATAACAATAAGATAATGCATACAAAGTAATCCTTACCCACAATGCTATTATAAAAAGCAATCAAACATTTGAACTCAGGGCTTATTAGCAGTAAGGATTCTTCTAGGCCAACCTCTTTATCACAGAGATAAAGTCAAGTTACTTGCCCAAGGTCACTGTGGTGGGTACGTGCAGCACTCATTCCTAGCTGGTTCTCTATGGCTTTGCAGGGATATAGCAAGGTAATGTTTTCCCCTCCAGTGGTTACCACCAAAGAGCTGTGGATGGCAGTGACACGTGTCACTTCTGGACTGTGCTATTTCATACCTAGGCATT